TGGTTGAACAAAAAACCACTGGTAAACTCATAAACTCTTACCAGGTACTTGCCATGATTTTGATTCCATTGGAAACCAATGTCATTTGGTATGTCATCAGCATTGTAAAGAAAACAATGCTTTTTGATCAGGATCAGCTGACACATTAAATAATTCACTTATGCATATTTCTTTGGGCTAAAAGCCCTAAGTTTTGTTTGCTTTCAAAATGTGCAGTTTTGCTGAGACTGAAATGCATCGTTTTTTCATCAGAACTTTTTGTTTCCCTTTCTATTGTTTTAGTTGAAATGTCTCTGAATCTATAAACGTCCATAGTATCTGCCAGACCACTTTGCCAGGCCATTTTGATGCACTTACATTGTGCTATTTGGTTTTGAAATGTATAAATATATGTTTGAAGTACTCAAAGGCAACTTTGTGATATATGTATTATAGATCTTTAGTAAATTGGGATACTGACCCGATATGTGATTGGCATACTGGACAAAATTGCAAAAAATCAAATAAATAAGATAATTAAAGACTAGATTATTATTTTTGTTCATATATATATATATATATAGAGAGAGAGAGAGAGAGAGGCGCTATATAGGCTATATAGGCTATATAAAGGTAAAGGTACCCCTGCCCGTACGGGCCAGTCATGACCGACTCTGGGATTGTGCACCCATCTCGCTTAAGAGGCCGGGGGCCAGCGCTGTCCGGAGGCACTTCCGGGTCACGTGGCTGCTCTGGCGAGCCTGCACCAGCGCAGCACATGGAAACGCCGTTTACCTTCCCGCTATAAAGCAGTACCTATTTATCTACTTGCACTTAGGGGTGCTTTCGAACTGCTAGGTGGGCAGGAGCTGGGACCGAACGACGGGAGCTCACCCCGCCGCGGGGATTCGAACCGCCGACCATACGATCGGCAAGTCCTAGGCGCTGAGGTTTTACCCACAGCGCCACCCGCGTCCCTATATAGGCTATATAGGCTTTCTTAATTTCCAAAGTTGTTGTCAACTTTCATCTTATCTACATTCCAAGGACACAAAAGCCTGTTGAATATCTACCCTGAAAGGCATCCAGACTGTAATGTTAGACTGGATGCTTGTAGATGTATGATAGTTGTTGTGGCTGTTGCAAGCACAAGACATCTTGTTCCATTGGTACAGAATGTAAAGTGACAATTGATGCCAAATGTTGTAGTTTTGCCTAGTATTTGGAAGGCATGTTGACCCTGTAGTTAGGCACTATCTTCAGGTTGGAAAAGATCTTCTTCCTCCATCCCACCCCCTTTTATTCATGAGAGGTGAATTTCCATGTTTAAAATTAAACAGTGAAAGCTTACTATCCCAATCTAGATATTAAAGAAACAACAAGCAATGGTTTGCTGTCATGAGAAGAAGTACGCCTACACCTCAGTCTTATACCTTCACTCCTCCCTTCCAAACCAGGGGGAGAAAATAAGAAGCTTTTCATTATGCTTTACAACAAATATCAGTTGCAGTTTTGTCAAAAGCTATGGTTAGTTCACAAAACAGAAAGCTCGCTTAAGAACTATAATGCACTGAAACTACTGTTCTGCCACATGTAAACAAAATGGCAAACTACTGTTTGTTGCAAACCACTTCTATTCTACTCCCTTTGTGTGGGAGGGGAGAAAGGATCCCGAGGCTCACACATGGTTGTTCTTATAAAAACAAACCGTTACATCTGAACTGGGTCAGTGTGTTTGCACTGCTTAATTTTCAAATACAGGTATTAAAAGATGCCATATTTGACAAATTTGTGTAACAGCACAGAAAGGAAAATGCTGCCAAAAAGGGTTTATTTTCGCCTTTCTTGAAACATTGACCTTTCCCTGTAGTAATCAGTACAAAGCAAAAAATGAATACTAGTGGAATTATCCTTTAGCAAACACCCCACTTGAAAATGACCCTAACTTGACCATTTCATTTTTCACATTTGCTAGCACCTCCCCCCCCCCCGCCACTCCTTTCAATTTGTATAATTTTGGCATCCAAAGAATAGAGTGCTCAAGAACTAATCTTCTCTAATGCTTCTCAAACATGTTACATTGCACTTGGACAAGAGTATGTCGATGTCAAAAAAGGTAGCTATGACAAAATGTCATTAAGGTGACAGATTGTAAATTAATATAGTTAATGGAGGTTCTTATAACTGAATGACCACCCCTCCTCCCCCAATATAAGGTGATTGTTGAATTAATGGATACCCAGGGATCAGCTTTTGGGGGAAAAGAAGGAAACTGGCAGAGGTGGGGGTGGTGAGGGAAACAGCTTTAAAACCCTGCAGTGAATTACATTAGAAAACTGAAAACGTCTGTATTGGATTTTATTTCAGAGGGAGGCCATAAAATGGTGTACTCCTGGCAAAACATATTAAACTGAAATGTCATTTTTGAGGCTTATAGTATCCTATTATGTTAGTGTTAATAGTGGCCTTCTATAACACCAAGTTTTAAAGTTTAATTTTTCAGCAGCTTGAATTTATCCAAAGCTTGTAAATTAGAAAATGTAGTTTGGCATTTTTTACCTCATACAAAGACATAACACATGTAATACTATTAACAATACCTTTGGGTTTTAGCATAGCTATTAAAATAAACTAGAGATCATATTTAAAGACATAAAATGTCTGGTATAATATTCATTTTTGTCCTTTTAAAAGTTCCTGGTAGCTTTATTGCATTGTTCTTTATTTCAGAAGAAATAAAGAAGGCTAAGCTACTAAGACCACAGGAAAAGTAGCTGCTTATTAAGTAACAGAAATCTTAAGTTATTTGAGCGGATAGGAGAATTCAAGGGGGACAGGAAAGGTTCCATCTTGTGAAAAGTCACATAGAATTATCGGGTTGTTGTCCAGGAACTTTTAGTGTTCTGTAAACATTTCAGCTTCTGGAGTATGTACTTTAACAATAAGTAGGACATATTACATGGACACTGAAATTATAGTTTGGCAAGATCCATTGAAATTTAGGCACTTTAAAGTCCCAGCTGTTTTTCTAGAAAACTTGAGCTAAAATCTCTCATGTGCTTACATCTCTCACATTCAAATAAACCCACGTTTAAAAGTATACACACTGCATAGTCCCTAGTCTTACATATTTTAGGAACCGTGTAAGGTTGTAGAATGTGATATCTTTATTGAAAAGTTTTATTGTTGGCTAATTCTATATACACCCTTATTATTGTACATTAGGGATGGGGAATCTGTGCTAGCCAGATGTTGGTGGACAACAGATCCAATTATTTCTGGCCATTGGCCATTGGCTAGTTCCCATGGGAGCTAGAGCCCAACAGGCCATTCCTTCACACTTTGAAGTCTGTGAGTCCACAGGCAATCATGCTATTAGCTGTGGAAATCTGTTGTTGTACACAATAAAAGGAAAGTTAGATCAAGCAGCAGCCTGGGTCAGGGTAAGGCAGCATGATATTGTGATATGCCTCTGCACACAGCAATATTTCCAATTATATTAGTTTATTTTAATGAAGGTTATCTAAGCAATGGCCTCTGTAGCAGAATGGAACTGAGACGGTTGCTGCATCTATTATTGAGTAATTAAATGATTTGTATTAAAAATTAACTTAAAGGTATAATAGCATTGAAAATTAAGCATAAGGACAAGGTTGCAAAAATTCTTGAATAAATTCTGTCTACAGAAACAGTGTGTTTGTTCCTTCAACTACAGGAGTTAATTCCAGAGTTCTACTACCTACCAGAAATGTTTGTCAACAGTAACGGATATAACCTTGGAGTGAGAGAAGATGAAGTTGTTGTGAATGATGTTGAGCTTCCCCCTTGGGCAAAGAAGCCTGAAGACTTTGTGCGCATCAATAGGATGGTAAGAAGGCTTTTAGTTAAGCTTGAGTAACAAGTTCCATGATTTAACAAGCTGGCACATCACTAGCTTTTCAGCTTCGCAGGGCAGAAGTTGAAAATGGGAGGAAGAAAAAAGCAAATGGAAGAAGTGGTTGATTGCATCCACCCTATATTTGACAGCATATACATTTTATGCAGTAGATTTTATATACCCGTATTTTTCGCATTATAAGACACACCAGACCATAAGACGCATCTAGTTTTTGGAGGAAGAAAACAAGAAAAAAAAATTCTGAATCTCAGAAGCCAGAACAACAAAAGGGATCGCTGCGCAGCGAAAGCAGCAATCCCTCTTGCTGTTCTGGCTTCTGGGATAGCTGCGCAGCCTACATTCGCTCCATAAGACGCATAGACATTTCCCCTTACTTTTTAGGAAGGAAAAAGTGAGTCTTATAGAGCAAAAAATACGGTACTTTCCCTTCAACAGGGATTCATAATGTGATCACTGCCAGGATGCCCCTTGTATGCCACTCTGAACTTTCTAAATAAAGAACAGGAGATTAATGTAATAAATAAAATAAAATCTATTCTTTGCTCCCTAGCGGAAGGCTTTTAAGAACCACCAAAATGCTAAATTTTCTAAAAAGCCAAAGGTACCGTATTTTTCGCACTATACTCCGGAGCGCGCCCCGTGCTTCGGGCTGCAGGCTGCTGCTCGCAAGCCTTGCGCGCCCGGCGGGAACTCCCGCGGGGCGTGCAAAGCTTGCGTACAGCTTCCTGAAGCCTTGAGACCGAGAGGGGTCGGTGCGCACCGACGCCTCTCGCTCTCCAGGCTTCAGCGAAAGCCTGCATTCGCCCCATAGGACGCACACACATTTCCCCTTCATTTTTGGAGTGGAAAAAGTGCATCCTATAGGGCGAAAAATACGGTATATAGGAGCACTGGAAGAGAGAAGTTAGTGCCTTGCAAAACTGGTTCCTTTGAAAGGAATTACCGTATTTTTTGCACCATAACACTCACTTTTTTTCTCCCAGAAAGTAAGGGGAAATGTCTGTGCGTGTTATGGAGGGAATGCCTACGGGTGGGGGGGGGGGATCTGCTGCAGTCGTCAGCAGAGGATCCATGGTTCCCCTTCCTTCCCTCCTCCGTGGCTCGCTTTGAAACAGCAAAGCGGGAGAAGAGCCGCTGAGTGGGGAGGAGAGAGGGACAGAGAGCCTGCTTTTTTAAAGGAGCAAAGCAGGAGAGGAGAGGATTGGTTCCTTTAAAGCAACCAGGCTCTCTGTCCCTCTCTCCTCCCCACTCAGCTCGCTACATAGCAGCAAAGTTTTTCAGCTCGCTAAGCCGGGGTTGAGTGGGGAGGAGAGAGAAAAGCAGAGCCTGCTTGCTTTAAAGGAGCAAAGTGAGAGAGGAGAGGAGCCTTCTTCCCTTATACCCCTCTTCTTCATTATTAGCAGCATCCTTCTCCACCCACCCCACACGTGCTTCTTCTCCCCTTAAACCCCTCTTCTGCATTATTAGCAGCATCCTTCTCCACACACCCCACGCGTGCTCCTTGTCCCTTGAGTGCTTTTCCTTCCCTCCCCACTTAAAACGTGGTTACAAAGCACGGATCCACATGGATCCTCAGGATTTTTGCACTGGGTCACCCCAAATTCACCATCAGATCACATAGCATGTCCATGGCTACATCTTGCACCAAAAAAATCACGCACCCACTGTTGCCTGGGGCCGCAATGGTGCAAAAACGTGGTTACAAAGCATGGATCCACATGGATCCTCAGGATTTTTGCATTGGGCTACTCCAAACTCACTGTCAGATCACATGTCTGTGGCCACAGCATGAACCACAAAAATCATACATCCACTGTTTCGTTTAGAATATTTTTTTTCTTGTTTTCCTCCTCTAAAAACTATGTGCGTGTTATGGTCGGGTGCGTGTTATAGAGCGAAAAATACGGGTAACTGATTACACAGGGATCAAGCATACTTTCCTAGCTGCTGTCTTACACCATCTGAAACGATACATGTTTGTTGAATTTTATCTGTTTCAGGTTAATGACTGTATTTTTAACTCAAATATCTAAATGCTGAATAGAAAGTACAATAGAATAGACACTGCAGCAATAAAAAAGTAACTGATGCATTTAAAATCAGCTCAGTATCACCCTCCTTAGATTGAAAACTTGTCTGATTAGTAGCATTTTATTTATATATTCATTATTTTAAAAAATCTTAATTTGAATTTGTGGGCATTAGTGTTTTAATAAGAATATTTAGAGATACTCATTAAGATGCATTTCCCCAACCCAGAGCTGCCCTCGCTCTGCAAAAATCAACACATATGAGAGGCTCTTCACAATTTATCCATCAATCTACTTTGCACAGACATGAATGTACAAGTGCAGTGAGTGTAGGAGCTGTTTGTGTAGTGTGTATGCTCATGCACACATGGCTGTGCTTGGGATATGACCACCACTGGCAGGTGATCCTTGGGAGCTGGGCATCTGAGCATTAATACAGCCATTGGGCTTAAAAACATCAGCCACCCTCTGTTCTGCACTGGGTTGCACTGCAAGACATACCTAATATTCCCTTGGATGCTGTTCATTTTGTTAATACCTATCTTCCCCCCTCCCAATATAAAATAATTGCATTATTGAGGCAAGCCTAGTTTCACAGTGTAATGATTAGCATCTATGAATTGCTACCCATTAAACATCCCATAACATAAAAACAAAAGAAAGAAAAGCAATTTCAATTCCAGCACAGGTACAGACAGGGATAAAAAAAAAATCACATGTAAAAACATCTTCTTGTTCTTTTCTTTCCCTTGGATGTCCTGGGTTTTCACAGTAGAGAAGTTCATATTTCAACTGACTTGAAATGCTCTAAATGCAAAAAAGCATTCGCATCCCCCTGCTAACAACAATGGTTGTTGTTGCAAATAATAATAGCAACTGTTGTTGTCAGATACAATCTATTCGTGGTGCTTTGTATGCTTGACCTAACAATAATGCAATAAAAGTCACATTAAATCCATTTTAAAGAGGGGGAAGGTACAAATGGAATGAATTTAACTGTAGAGTTACTTACTATAAATTTCATTACTTTTCTGTTATGAACTGAAATGTTGATAACAGACCTAGGGAAAAATAGGTATAATTTAAGTACCATTACTAAATACAGAACATTTTTTTAAAAGGTATAGTGCACACAATCCAATGTTTCCCAAGCCATTTGAAAATATTCATTTGGGACCTTTGTGATTTTGCAGACCATTGCATGTAAAATATAGCACATGTTGATGATTATTGACTCAGTACCCCATTCATAAATTAATCAGTCTGTAAATCTTTATCTTCAACCTGTTTATACATTCATAGAAGTTTTATATAATAGAAACACTGTAGTCACTAGATGATAAATTACACCCATCTAATTCAGTCTTAAACAGGTATCTGGCATTTTACTGGCAAGGAAGTGGGAGGATATTCTGTGTTTTATAAATATATGCTCTGAGAGAGAAATAGCCTTTCATTGAAAGAAATTCCTGTGAAAATTGGTCTCATTAGAAAGACTGGGGAAGTGATTAAGTCTGGTAACTTTTAGGAGATGTTTCAGTAGATTTTAAGAGCATTCAATTTATACATCAGTGATTGTTGGCCCAGTTTAATTTATCCATAGCAAGCTAGACTGATTACTACTGACATACCCATGAAACATTAATAAAGCATTGTGTTCAATGCTAACATGATTATGGTCTGACCTCAGTGATGTCACAGAGGACAGAAGCCGTAAGTGTCCCTGCTAACATTACCCTAATGCTAGGTTCATCAATCATAATCTACCAGTTTACAAAAACAGGGAAAAAAGCTTTCCACAGATGTGACTTCGTAGTCTTGCTGAGCTTTTTGATCCCAGCAGACTTGTGGTGGTCCTGAGAGCCAAAAATAGAACACATTCAGCCAACAAGCCAAGCATGTTAAATTGAGGCAGAAAACTGTAGCATGGAAAAATAGAGCACAGCCTGTATAATAAGCATTCTGTAATTTGAAGAGGCGATCTGCCACAATCCAAGATTAACTATAATAATATTTTGATTATTAAGCACAAAACATTGTAGTGCATTACAAATTATAATGCTGAGTGAAACATATAACACAAATTATACTTTTAGATTTAAAAAACCCCTGTTTACTTGGTTTGTATGCTGCTTGGGGGAACAGGGATACAGCTTTCACACATTTGCAGATATATTACACCAGCACAAAAGCTGGTGTCCACATTTCAGCAAATTACCTTCCCCCCAATCTGCCCCAAACAGCTATTTGTTTATTTATGTATTATATTCTTAACCCGCCTTTCCTCAGGGCAGCATTCAGCCCCCACTACCTTGTCTTCACAAAGCTGTAGGTCAGACTGAGAGATGGTAAGCCAGTAAGCTTTGTGGCTGAGTGGAGGTTTGAACCCTGTCTCTGTGATCTTAATATGACACTGTAACCAATATACCACACTGGCTCCCCATAGACCATGAAATCCATGGGTGTACTTGGAGGAGGCAATGGGAACCATGTCCCTTCCTTAATCCTATGTTAATTTAATTTTGGCTGCACAGCTGGGTCTATGCAAGTTAGACGGTCCCTTTCCCAGTATTTTTCTGTTAGCAATAGTGTACCTGTATTGCATGGTTTAACTAAAATTGCCACTAATTGAAAGGCATCCAGAATAAATGTACAGTGGTACCTCGGGTTAAGAACTTAATTCATTCTGGAGGTCCATTCTTAACCTGAAACTGTTCTTAACCTGAAGCACCACTTTAGCTAATGGGGCCTCCTGCTGCCGCCGCGCCGCTGGAGCACGATTTCTGTTCTCATCCTGAAGCAAAGTTCTTAACCTGAAGCACTATTTCTGGGTTAGCGGAGTCTGTAACCTGAAGCATCTGTAACCCGAGGTACCACTGTAATTAGATGGCATTGTATTATCAGGTGAATGCGGTGGTGTACATAAATACTAAAGCATCTTGTAGATGAACAATTCACAATTCAACAAGGTGGTATAAAGAGTAGTTCCCCAACTTCAAAGTTCTCTGTCTTGAGTTACCCTTGCTATAGAATGGTAAATATCCACAGTGAAGCTAATGAGGCTCTTTTACAATAAGTAGGCATAAAAATATTAATATGCAAATCTGTGGATATGACCAGGATCCCAAGTGTAACACTAACACATTATTGCAATATGGATATAATGCCTCAACCTTAGTTGATACATCATTCACAAATGTCCCATTTAGAGGGCCCAGCTCCTTGACCAAGTGACCTTATGATGTGACTGCAACATTACAGACATCTCCTACAAAAGTCCATTTTCTTGGCAGCCTATGGGTGCCTCCACTGCTCACTCAAATCCAGGATGTTTAGCTCATTTTCTGCTTAGTTGATAAATTGCCACAAGGCTTATATCATTCCACCTTGGGAAAGGCAGAGTGTTGGCTCACTGTACCCCACAACAAGGACATGAGAGGGAGCAATCTGTGTTTCTCTGGCTGTAGTATGGCTAGCCATCCCTAGTATAGGACTGCAGCCTTTCAGAAGTCTATACATGTTCATTTAATGTGCATCCCACTATGCCTTGGACTTCACTTATGTACACCAGGAATGGGGAACCCTCCAGTTGTTGCTACAAATCCCATCAGCCCCAGTCAAGCATGGCCAAAAGTCAGGGATGATGGGAATTATAGTTAAGCAACATCTGGAGGGCTTAATGTTTCCCACACACTTAAGGTAAAGGTAAAGGGACCCCTGACCTTTAGGTCCAGTCGTGGCCAACTCTGGGGTTGCGGCGCTCATCTCGCTTTATTGGCCGAGGGAGCCGGCGTACAGCTTCCGGGTCATGTGGCCAGCATGACTAAGCCGTTTCTGGCGAACCAGAGCAGTGCACAGAAACGCCGTTTACCTTCCCACCAGAGCGGTACCTATTTATCTACTTGCACTTTGACGTGCTTTCAAACTGCTGTGGTTTAACCCATAGTGCCACCCGCGTCCCACACACTTACCTGGCAGTAAATTGAGTTGAACTCAGTGAAACTTACTTTTGCGTAGATGTGGAGGATAGCACTGTTAATGTTTTAAGAGCTTTCTGTAAGTTTTTGGCCTATGGGAGCTACTTTAAGAATACAATTCTTTTAACTGGTTTTCTCTTTAGGTGGTACCATTATTTTCAAAAGGTATTGAAAGATAAATTCACCCAGCTTTGAATTTAAATAGAACACTGGAAGTTATATTTCCACTGATAAGCTGGACCTAAGGCAATTTTAT